GCTTCAAAATGTCCACCATCTCCTTCAACAGGTTCCACTCTCCTTGTGCCCAGGCATTTCAAGAACAACTTTAGATGTTAACATTGCGGAACTGCTTTTACTTGCCTCAGTGTTGAATTCCGTCTTGTGATTACAGCAGCAGGGATCACTTTCTGTTTAAAAAAATTCAGCTTCAAACACATCTTTGAAGGGAAGATGCCACTTTGGTCTCTGACAACCCATCTCTCGCCACCAGCTGAAGTGTGTGCGCAAAACACTGCAGGTGCTGTTTTGTTGCCATCGCAGCACCTACTGTTTCCTGATCTTCCAAGGTTAAGTCGTGCCAGAGCTCTGGGTCATCAAGATGATCACCATCATCATCATTTTTGATGTAACTGTTCATCAAAAATTGTTCATACCGGGCTGTATTTGCTGTCAGAAACTACTGTTTTTGTCAGAAACTATTACTGTCAGAAAGTGCCGAAAACGCTTGTTTTCCACAGTAGACAGGGGCAGGTTGCAACCAATAATCAAGTCACTTAATAATGCATTTGTGATGGCTTTCTGCTGTAGATAGCCATACTGTACAGCCCAGCACAAATCTGCTAGAGTTAAGCAAACTGATATAATAAATTCCATTATAGCCATTAATGAATTGCATTTGACTTTAATTGTTTCTACTAACACTTAAATCCTCATAGTTTTCAGACAGTCAAAGTCACAGTTCTAATAAGCAATATTTCAGATCCCTGTTAAGAATTACTGCTACAGCCATTGCACACATACATGCGGAGTGTGGTAAGAATGAATTAAATGAATTAATGGTACGCACTTTTTATATAATATATGTTTTAAATTTTATATTTGGGGTAAAATATCGAGTCTTTTCAAGTAAACAGGTTCATATCCAATTTAAGTCCCAAGTCATTGGTGTAAAAGTCCAAGTAAAGTCACAAGTCTTAGAACATTTTTTCAAGTCAAGTCTAAAGTCATAAAATTAATGACTCAAGCCTGACTGGAGTCCAAGTCATGTGACTCCAGTCCACAACTCTGCATATCACTCCATTAGAGCGCTTCGTTCTCCCGCTGCAGGATTACTTGTTGTTCCTGGAGTATTTAAAAATAGAATGAGAGTCAGACACTTCAGCTTTTAGGCCCGTCTGCTATGGAACCAGCTTTCAAATTAGATTCAGGAGACGGACACTATCTCTACTTTTAAGATTAGGCTTAAAACTTTCCCTTTTGCTAAAGTATATAACTGGATCAGGTGACCCTAAATCCTCCCTTTGTTATGCTGCAATAGGCTGCTGGGGGATGATGCATAGAGTATTTCTTCTCCAGTCACCTTTCTCACTCACTATGTGTTAATAGACCTCTCTGCAATGAATCATTACTTGTTATTAATCTCTGGCTCTCTTTCGCAGTATGCCTTTTGTTCTTTCTTCCTCCAATCACCCCAGCCTGTCACATCAGATGGCCACCCCTCCCTGAGCCTGGTTCTGCCGGAGGTTTCTTCCTGTTAAAAGAATTTTTTTTCTTTCCTACTGTCACCAAAGTGCTTGCTCATAGGGGCTCATATGATTGTTGGGTTTCTCTCTGTAAATATTTTTGTGCAGTCCGGATTACAAGAAATGCCTTAAGGTGACTGCTGTTGTGATATGGCCCTGTATAAATAAAATTGAATTGAAATTAACCACACTACAGTTCATTATACCACCTCCTCCAAAGCAGTTTTTGGTTGGCACCCAAGTTTGATTACTATGCTTACATCTGCTCAAGTGAACTGCAGCCAGGGTGGAAACAAACCAGACCAGAGTCTAAAGAAGTTCAACACCGCAGGTGTGAAAACAACCCTTTCAGATTCCTGTGGCCACTCACTGATGTACCTCTCCCCTGACTTCCTGTGTACATCCTGATGATTTGATAAAAAATGTCAAATTTACATTAATCACTCTATCAGACCTGCTGGCACTGATTTTTAGTCCATTTCTTGTGTAATTTCTCACACCTCACCCCTTTCACCCTGTTTCCTTTCCTTAATAATGGCTTCTTGACAGCCAACCTTCCACTAAGACCATTTCTGTTGATGCTTCAATGAACAGTAGATGGATCAGCTGAAGGGCCATCTCTCAGGTCCTGCATTTTTTTTTATTTGGGGGCATTTTTAGTCTTTAATTTTGTATTAGATGTCTAAAGACAGACAGGAAAGAGGGGGGGGAGCAGGGGAAGAGGGCCACAGCTTGGACTCCATAGATCTAGACCTGTGGCATACAGTGAGTTAAACTGGCTCAAATCAGATTATTTTTTGAGTTAATACATATCATGACTGCAGTTAATAGGGTGTTGAAAACTTTATTCTACTATGTAGCTTAATTTATAATTTTAACTTACTATATTTTTTTCAAGATTGTATATTGCTCTTTAGAGAACCAAGTTGTCCATTTTGTGAATGGAGGTTTTCAAAGTGTGTACAAAATTACCTTTACACTGTTTATTTAACAATGCTATTCCATAGTGTATTTTAATGTTTGTGTGTGAATGTAAAAGTCATATTTGAAATAAAGTTTGAGGATTTTATATCAATACTGAATACCCTAATGATTTAATATGTTTTACTGCTGAATTAAACATGAAGATTATAAAAAAGGTAGCCTATTTGAAACACTGCTGACTGGTGCAGCTAAACTCAGGAATGTTTAAATAAGCTACATACAATCAGCGAAATATGTTGATTGCATGGTATTTTATACACTTCCTACAAATATAATATATTCACACATTCATATGATTAATTGTAGATACTACAGCATTATGCTTGACCTAGTTCCTCTACACTATTGTATATACTTTAATTAATAACTTATATCATAGTAAGTAATTAGTTCGATATATTGACTATACAGCATATATTTTCTAAATATATCTTTATAAAACTAGAGGTATAAATGTAAATAACTTTATTGGAATTTAGTGTAAAGATTACAGCCACTGCCTGGCAACTTTGCTGCCATTATTCTACTGAAGCTCTTACGGCTTTTTATCGGATGTAAATTGCTGAATTAAATTTAGATGAGTGACATTAAGTCTAATGAAGTTAAAGAAAAAGTCTATGGATAACGAATTACTTTCAGCCACGGCACCTTTGGAATAAATTTGAACTTTGGACAGGTCATGTCAATCAGGTGACAGCTCAGACTTTTTTCTTTTTCTTTTTTGGGATCAGGTAACCTAAAAGAAAGCCGGAAGTGGTATTTTGCTATGAAACCGGCGCGTTTTTCATACTTCAATCCATATTGTCAGGCTGCAAATGTTCCTTGTTTACTGCATTTGCATCGAGCCTGGATGCACCGTGAAATTACAATGGATGCAGTTCTTTAAACTGAAGCAAAACTGCAATGCAATGATAACTTTCAAGAGTTTGCTCAAGATGGAGAATAAGACAAGACCACGTAAAAGCCCCAGGATCGATCTGCGCAACCGTCTTTTTCACAATTTATTACACAGAAAGCCAGAGGGAGAAGTACATAATACTGTATGAAACCAGTTTTGTTCTCATCTTAACATTCTAAAATGTGTCGAATGCTGTAATACCATTTTTTCCCAGCTTAATATATTATATTATATTATAGTGCTGCAACCCTAAACCCCTGTATAAATTTATTATTTTCTATTAGGTAGGGTGATTTTATACGTTTAATCTACGTCTATTGTACTAAGTCATCAAATGAAATAACTGATATAGCATATACGATATTTTTACATTCGCAGGATTTCTAAAAGTAAATGCTAGAAGACCTGTGAAACCGTTCCACTGGCCTTTATGAGGGTAAAACATGACATTTAGTTGTGTATTTATTTAATTCTGTTTTGCGCAGACTAATCGGTTGTAATTAACCTATAACTATCACCAAATGAAATCAAGACATTAAAACATGATTAAGTCGACGCAGATATAATTTGACACGTACAGTTTGTAACGTTTCTGGGGAACGCATAGTCGGCTCTATTTTCTTTTGATGTTACTTTTTCCAATATTTATATGCCCTGCTTCTTATAGCGCTTTCCTGCTCTACCTGAGCGCTCAAATCGTGTTCAATTAACCCATTCTGATGGATGGATACAGCGGAGAGCAACTTTGGGTTTGTTTCTAAGTTATGCAGACTGAAGCAGCCAGGAATCAAACCACAAATTTTCCGAGTAATAACTGACATGTTCTACCTTTTGGGTGCCAGCCACCCTTGTGGCAGGAACCACTCCTGTAGTTCAGGCGGTAGAACATCCCACGTACCTACCGTGTAAATTTCTTAAAATAAAATATATCAGTTTATGCTTGCTTTAGCCGTTAAATTTCATCTCTCACTTACTGTATAACATTTTATAACCTATACCACTGATTTCGATTCATGGATTGCAGAAATATGGGGAAAATGAGACTGGGAATGTTTTAGTAATTTCACAGTAGCCCAGAGAAATGGGGTTAGCCTAGTAAACTAATGAAATGTATCAATGAATACGACACAACATTTTCTTTTTCTAAAAATAAATGATGTATTAGCTTTATTTGTCTATAGACTGTATTTTGATTAAAAAGCGAAAATACATACATGACAAAATGCCCTGACGAAGACCAGAGGACGATTCAGGCTTGAAATAAAGTGTACTATCCTCATAGCGCTGTGTATTTGAAAGGGAAAATATTATTATTATTATTATTTTCAGAAACGGCTTTTCAGTCTCCCTGTGAATCTGTTGACTTCTATGTTATTGAGAATGGTTTTATTTTTATTCACGATTCATTTTGAGTGAATTGCAGTCTGCTGATTTAACTCCATACCGGTTATAGTGGTAACATTGGGCCTCATCCGTGCGTGGCATCATCGAAGCAATTTTGAACACAACCATGGTGACACACAAGCACACGCAGACAGAGAGAGTGAGTTTCAAGGTGTGCGGTGGTCTTGAACTTGAAGTTGAACTCATTACAATATGTCTGTCTTTCTGGCTGTAACCCCCCCACCCACCTTTCGCGTTAAACTTGACCTTGACCTTCGGGGGCGGTCTGACATCTGACACCCCCACCAACAGCAGACCACACTGTGGGTTAGAGTCGTACTGTCTGGGTGGTTTGTTTGTGAAGTCTTGTCTGCAATAGGCCATGCTGCAAGGTTTGAATATTTCTGAACAGAAGACTTCAGCTATTCAAAGCAATAGCGTCGATTTGAGCAGGTGATTCATCTGCATTTACGTCACCACTGAGCTGTTTATTTCCTATCATTTATAAAGGACTATGTGTACTGAAGCATTTTTAAGCTTTCTACTTTGTTGGGCAAAATACAAAATATTATTTTAATTTAAAAATACACCCTCAACCTCGCAATCTACTGATTCCTCGTCAGAATAAATTGGAAATAAGTAAAATAAACGCCAAACTAACATTTTTCCTCATTTTGATAAAAAAAATTTTTTTTTAATTATTTAGGAATAGAAATTTAAAAATATCCTATCAATAATGTTTACGGACTATATTGGTGATATTTGAAAATAACAATTATAGATATTATGCTAATCATGGACTTAATGTTAACTGTGTAAATTTATCATACTGGCGCCCCATTCGCTTGTATTTTCAGACTTTTTCATTTGCTTTAAAACAACACAAGGAAAATAAATGTTGCATATGAATATAACTGATGGCAATATTTAAAAAATTTATGTATTTATTTATTTATTCATTGGCAGCTTCAATATTTAAGATTGTATTTGTCACATACACAGAAATATTGCACAGTGAAATGTTTATATAACAGTCAATAACAATTAAAGATATTACAACAAAAATATAGAATTAAAACGAATATTTTCTTTCCTTGTTTTGATATTGTGATAGTATAGTCATATTGTGACGGCAAGTGAGGATAGGACAGGAGCCGGTCGCCTACTGGTTTCCCCAACCTGCATGTAGAAGTGTCTGTGAGCAAGTTGCAGCCATCCGAGTGTATGAACATTAGTTTAAAGTGTTCGTGCATAGAAAAAAGCACTTGTGTGAATGCTTGATCGAGACCTTTAGTAAGAAAAACGCTTCAAGTGCTCACTTTTAGTATAAAAGCGCTATATAAATATTAAATATAATAGTGTTTATTCGAGTTCACCAAATAGTGAGCTGGAATAAACACCGTGATGGTTACATGTGTAAGGATATATTTTAGATGCAAGTTTTACATTCAGCTTGTGTTGCTAATTTTGAATTCTAATACATTTCAGAACATTTAAATTATTGCACAGATTATTATGTTTTATTTATTTAAAGTCGATTGTAACGGCTTATTTCTTTATACTGTACGGATCCAGCCACTGTTCTATGACCACATTCTCAAACAAAGACTTGATCTGGACACGTATATCCTCTTTATGTAGCTTGGTGAGAAGTAAACTTCCGCATTCTTTACATTGTACAGGCTGTTGGCTTCACACGTGATCCTAAAGTCTGTCACTGTAATGTTACTGAAAACAAGATCTGATATTAATGTGTTTGGATTCATTCTGCGGCACACGTAAAAGTGAACTTCCCCACCCTATATGCGCCTAATGGCGGACTCCCTGGTGAAAATGATGAAAATCCAGTGAACTCAAATGAGTGGCCCTACGCTTTTAGGCTGGAAGCTTCGGGTTAAGAGCTCATGGTAATGTGTAAGGAGTTTATTTTACCCACCATATTTCTCTTTAGATCTGTTTTCTGTAGATAATAAACTTGAACAAAATTATTCTAGTATGAATAAAAAACTGAAAAAATGCTTAATCTTTAAGTTTCCTTTTAAATTATTTGCAGAAGAAGTAGTCCTATAGGTTCATTGCAGGCCAGAGATAAAACATGTATTGAAGCAAAATAATGGTTCCTGTCTGCAGTATTTCATTGACCAACCATTTCTTTTCCATGTTTTCATGTTCATTAATAACCTTTAGGAAATTCACTAATTTCTCACTTACTGCTTATTTGGCCTTCGTGTATACGGCACATGGAGTGATTCAAAATAAAATAATTACAGTAATTTCAATTACAGTATAGAGGAGCATCAGAAGTATTAATTTCAAACCAAGCGCAGACTAAGTTCCCGTCTCCTATAAAAAATGAGAACAATAACTTCCTCGTAGTGAAATTGTTTCTTAATATAACGGCCCTTGAGTGCCGCGGAAACCTTTCTGAGACACTTTCAACCAAAGCCGTTTTTCTCAAGTTTTAAGAACTCCAAAACCCTTCCATAAATCCCCTTAACGTTTACTCTAGTCATAACGAATGAGGGCGAGTTAAACTAAAACCTGGTTTTTCACTAGGTGGAGAAATGTTCCAGTGGGTGCACTTATTTAAATAGCCAAACTTTGCTTTTGAAGTCTTGAAAACATTCACGGTAATGATAAATCAATAATACGTTTTTCATGCATTTGAGAAGCACCGATTTTAAATGTGTCCACATCTGTATAAAACTGAGCATCTGGAGTTCCATATTAAAGGAAGAATAAATATTGAATAAATAAATAACATTTACATAACAAAATTTCAGTTTCTCTGAAAGTGTATACGTTTCAAATCAGTTATGTACCTTTACATTTTTGTTTCTTGTGGTTCAGGTGTGCGTGCTGCCAGTGTAGAATGGAGAGTATAGTTATTGAAAAAGTGATTATCTAAACGGTCAGTTCAGATATTGGCGAGTCCATTTCAGAGATTGGCGAGTCCATTTGCACCACGCACTTTTACGCACAACACAAAAGAAGTTGGTCGAGTGATTTTTTTTCATTGTCTTTCTTTCTTTCTGTTTTTAGGCAGACTAAGGTAATGTCACTCTTAGTATCGACCAGAGAACATCACATCACAGACTTGAGTCTGACGCAAAGGCAGCTGCAGAGACAAACTAAAGTAAACCAAACTACAGTAAGCTAAAGCGAATCTGCTCATTCCCTTCTCATATCACAGCTGGAAACTCATAAAATGCTTTTTCCCCTCCTCTCACTGACAGTCCTCAACTAGTCTCTTCTACTCTTCTTTTTGCGCTTGTTCCATCACGTGATCACCCTGTCTCATCCAATAGTTATGCTCCCCTTACTTCTCTTGGTCCAGGGGGCTTGTTGCGTCAAGGCTGCGGCTGGGATGTAAGTGGAGATCCGGCCGGTTAGTGGGAGTCTTTGCTACCGAATGACACGCCGTCACTCCAACAAAGCAGCATACCGTGCTATGATAGTGCTGTACAAGTACATTTCTTGAGCTTCGTTTGTGTGTGTGTGTGTGTGTGTTTGTATTTGTGTGTGTGTGTGTGTGTGTGTGTGTGTGTGTATGTATGTATGTGTAGTGAGCGCCAGTGATCAGCCTCATTCAGCAAATGTAGCAGCTTAGCGCCAGGAACGGACGGAGTCTGAGGCACACGAAGGCCAAAACGGGGAAGGGTGGGCATATGACAGCCTCTTTAGTACTCAACCCTCGCTGGCCAGTGGAAACGGTAATGTTTGTGTATGACAACAACGTGGACGAGTTGAACAAGAACATGGAGGGGCTCATAGGCAGCGGCAACTTTGCCGCTGCCACTGCAGCAAGCCAGTGCCGCAACATCATGGCACATTCGGCGGCCGCCGCTGCTCTGGGAGGCCACCCGTCCAGCTTGGTGCACTCTTCAGGTGGGTATTCCACAGTGGATGTGTCCGCTTCAGGCTCCGGTGAGACCGCTGCCTCTTCGGGGAAGCAATGTGCGGCTGTGCCGCACCAGAGCTCGTCGGCCGCAACCGCATTACCCTACAGCTACTTTGGTAACGGCTACTACCCATGCAGGATGGGTCGGGCTCCTCTTAAGTCCTGTACACAAGCGGCCGGAGCCGCTCTCAGCTCACAGTACATGGACACAACAGTGAGCTCAGACGAATATCCGAACCACCGGGCCAAGGAGTTCGCCTTTTACCATGGCTATGCCAGCCCATACCAGTCGATGGCCAGCTACCTGGATGTGTCGGTGGTCCAAACGCTCGGCACCGGGGAACCGCGCCATGACACCCTGCTGCCCATGGACAGCTACCAGCCTTGGGCTCTGACCAACGCCTGGGGAGGACAGATGTACTGCTCCAAAGATCAGGGACAGGCCGGCCACCTCTGGAAGTCCGCTCTGGCTGGTGAGTACTGCTGCTTTCAGGATTCATAATAACGATTTCTAAAACAGTTAAACAGAACTCTAACAGATTTTTTGTAACTATGACGCAACTGAACATATTTATTTAATAAAAATTACATTTAATAACAATTAAGAAATTAAAGGATTGACATTTGTTAAAACAAAAAAACATCTCGGATGATTAACTTGCTCCAATAGTTAATTATCGTCTTCATAAATTTGGACTAAAATTGGGCGGTTAATGCATCGAGTTTCTTTGCAAAAGCAAAGCAATAATGTGCTTGAGGTTTGTGATGGATGAGGTTAATCACTTCCCTTGAATCCCCATCTAGTTTGGGGCGTCACGTAAAGTGAAAATTAACGTCATGTTGATTGGATCCTTGATATTGTGAAGATACCAACATGTTGCAGACTCTAACTTAGAAATGAGCCTTGCATTGCCATCTCTTGGTGCAGAGTGAAAAACATTTTGGTGTTTCGTTCAATATTGTTTATTAACCAAGTGAGATAATCATTTTATTGCTGGGGCCTTCCAGTTAATTTAATGGTTATCATAATGGTTATTATGATGAGAGACATGATACTCTGCTGTCACTGCTAAAATAAATGAATGAATAAATAAATTAAATAAACAGGAAAATTAACTTTCATTATTAACATTGTAATTAATTCAATAATAATGATGGAAATAATTAATCCTCTTGGCCCAATATTCACAGTGAACAGGACTGTAATGTGTGAGTTAAAAGGAAAAAAAACCTAACGCCCACTCCACTTCTCTCTTTATTTAACGCACACATCGCACAAATGTAGAATTAAACTAAAAACACCGTAAACACAAAGTCAAGAGAAGACACAAAATGCTGTCCTTGTGACAGTCTGTGTGGAGTAGAATAGATACGTGCGCTGTGTTTAAAGACGCCATTTTTTGTAGGTCAATTTGAACTTAACCCAGACAGCAGATATTCGTTTCCCGTCTGCCTCGCAGGATTGTATCCAGCCAACATAAAG